GAGGGCCGCCTCCTCACCCCCGCATGACATTTTTCAGATGAGCCAACAGAGCCACAGCACCACAGACCCCATGCTTGGAGGATCATTCCATCTGCTCCGCAGTGCACAGATGGGAAACAAAGGCCAGGTCCCACCCACATTCATCCAGACAGGGCGGTGAGGATGAAAACCAAGGTGTCCTGGCCCACTGCCTGCACCACTGCCCTGCGGCCACGTTGTGCAACTCCACATGGCTCTCCTGCCAGACTCTGCTCCATCCAGCCTCCCCACCTCACCCCAAGCAGATTGGGAAATCTGTAACCCCCTGGGGCAGCGGGGAGGGGAGATGTCAGGCCCACCAGATCCCACCATCCACTCACAGCCCTGGTTAGCATGGGCTTTGCAGGGCAGGTGCGGGGCCTCCAACCTCGTCCCTAGCTGCCCACAACAGCCCGCCCAGAGGGACTGGGAAAAGCAGGTGCCGCCTTCCACTTGTCAGGCATGAAGGTCAATGGTCACAGATATGAAGTCCCCCACAAGGAAAACCTTCTGAAAATGGAGCTGCATAGAGGGCCAAAGGATGACAGCCAGTGGGGTCTGCAGGGCAGGCGCTATTCCTACTCTCTGTTGATAGAGAAACAGTCTCCAAGAGACCGGGCACTTCCAGAGAGAGGCAGAGGCCACCACAGGAAATGAGCAGCAGATGCTGGCTGCGCATGTTTACCACCAGCTGCTGTCCCATGCCCCACCTCCCAGGGGTCAGGCCTGGGGCAGCGGGAAACAGTCTCCAAGAGACCGGGCACTTCCAGAGAGAGGCAGAGGCCACCACAGGAAATGAGCAGCAGATGCTGGCTGTGCATGTTTACCACCAGCTGCTGTCCCATGCCCCACCTCCCAGGGGTCAGGCCTGGGGCAGCGCGCTGGCTCCACCTGGCAGGGAGGGCAGCAGGCAGGAGCAGACTGGCAATGACCCCTCAGTGCAGCCCAGAACCCAAGCATGCCAGCACCCAGCCAGGAGCCCTGGTCAGCTCCTCGCATGCAACCTGGAGCCTCAGTGGCCTGGGACACGTGGGACTGCCCCTCCCTTCCTTCTGCTCCAGCAATGACAGCTGACTTTTTGTTTTTGCTAAACTGCGGTAAGATACACATAACAAAATTTACCACTTTAAGTGGACAGTTCAGTGGCATTAAGTGCGTTCATATTCATCTTGTGCAACCATCGCCACTGTCCATCTCCAGAGCTCTTTTCACCCTGCAAAACTGAAACTCTGTACCCGTTATATACAACAACTCCCCATTCCTCCTCTACCCCTGTCCCTGGCAACCATCAGTTTCGTTCTGCCTCTGGTTTTGACCACTCATATAAGTGGAGTGTGTGTCCTTTTGTGACTGGCTTATTTCACTCAATATAATGTCTTCAAGGTTCATACACGCTGTAGAGTGTCTGAATTTTATTCCTTTTTAAGGCTGAATAATATTCCATTGTATGCACACACCACCTTTGTTTATCCGTTCATCCCTCGATGGACACTCGCATTGCTGCTCCCTTTTGGCTACCAAGAGCAGTGCAGTTTGCAAATATCTGTCAGGGTCCTGCTTTCTTTTGGATAGACAGCTGATTTTCGTCGACCCGCACAGGTGCCAGACTCTATCCTAAGTGTTTTGCGTGCCTTGGATTTCATCAGAAAACCTAATGAAGTGGGTACTGCACAGATGAGGAAACTGAGGCACGGATAGGTGCCAGTCCGTGATGGAGCTGGAAGCCCCTTCAGTGAGCACTGTGTATACGGCTTCTGCACCAGTGTTGCTTAGCATCTGGAATGCAGCCTGATGTATTTAAGTCAGACATCGAGGAAGGACTTCCAGGCCAGAGAGTTTAGATGCGGAAGTGAGAGGTACTGTCTTCCACGCCTTTTTCGTATTTGGAAAAAAAAAAATTTCCCAATCGTTTTCATTACCTTATTCAATCAATTAATTAAACTTCCACCCCCATCCCCCCTCCCCCATGGGACAGCAGGAGGAGCCGACCCAGCCCCAGCAGCCTCTCCAGCTGGAGAATAATACAGGGCGGTGTGTAATAACCTCTATTCATTCTCAGAGCTGCCTGAGAAGGTAGCCGGAGGGAAGCTTAATAGAAGGGGAAGTTGAAGGCAGAAGGGATAGCATCCGCAGCAGGGCTCAGCAGGTGCAAGGACTGGGGCAGGGGGCGGGGGTACAGAAGCTGTGGGTGGCTGGGCGTAGCTGCAGCAGGAGGCCTGGCCAGAAGGCTTGGCCCATAGCCTCGGTCACAAGGGTGGTGCTGACTGTGGGGTGGGCTCCCCAGGAGGAGAAGACCAGGGCATTCCAGGCTGTCCCCTGCCCCTCCCCCACCAGCCTGGGCCCACTTCCCCCTGCAGAATGACTTGCACTTCCCACTGCCCTAACCCTGGCTCTGAGGACACTGCACCCACCTTGCTCTCCTTCCACTTTGCAGGCCATCACCAGATCTGGAACCCTTCCTACGGCCCCTTGTTTCCTGGGGATGCCCCATTCACTGACTGCACTGGACAGAGCCATTGTATACCCTGTTGACAGATGAGGAAACTGAGTCTCAGAGAAATAAGTGGACACAAAAGTTGAGACCTTCAGGCTGGAGTCCAGGCTGCAGTTCCCGAGAGGGAAGTGGCTGCTTCGGGTCATTTGCAGCTGCACGAGGCTTTGGCTGGAGTCTGCTTCCCCAGGACCATGGGATGGCCAGGACAGCTGACCAGGAGCCACCCCCTCATAGGGCATCCCCTCCTGCAAAGGAGGGGGGCCCTGAACACACTCACCAGACCTCCGTGGCAAACTGTTTACAGTAGTCCCCTGTAAGAGAAATAAAGTGGAGGTCTTCATAGAGATCTTCTTCACCTATTGCCTGCAGTGACTAATTATTAACATCCTTTTAGGTGACTGGTATACGAGGAGCAGAGTCCTTGGGGCCGGCCCGCCCTAGGGGGATGGTACTAGGTGCCACCAGGAATGTCATGCTTGGCATGAAGGGAAGAATGGCTGGAGTTCTCGAGTTGAGCTGTGTCCAGATAAGCTAAGCACATGTATCAATTATTTTGGTCAACAGGTTATGCTTTTAGGTGCTTCGCTGGTTCCTGGAGGATAAACTTTCACTAAGTCACACAAGTGCATTTGGAATGTTGCCACTTTTGTTACCACTTGCTTTAAAAATCACCAAAGGTGAAGAACTTTAGAGTCTCACCCATGGGGTGGATGCTGTACCCGGGACCTTCCCAGTCGGATCCAAACAGCTGTTCCAAGACTCCCCAGCTGATAGGTTCATTCCGAGAGTGTTTCCTACTCGGCTTGGTGATGTAGCTTTATACTCTTATCCTTTCATTCTACATGCTTAATTTTGTTGTCTTATTCTGTCATTTGTTAGTAAATTTTTCCTTATTCTGATATAACATCAGGAGAGAGTGTCTTATTGCTCGTGGATCAAACTTACTTTGAATTATAATTGCAGCTGCACGGGCCGGCCCGTGGCTCACTTGGGAGAGTGTGGTGCTGATAACACCAAGGCCCCGGGTTCGGATCCCATACACAGATGGCCGGTTTGCTCACTGGCTGAGCGTGGTGCTGACAACACCAAGTCAAGGGTTAAGATCCCCTTACCGGTCATCTTTTAAAAAAAATAGTAATAATAATTGCAGCTGCACATAACGCTTTCACGTGACATCCCCCCTATTTCACACGGTCAACTGAGGTCTGAAAAAAAAATTTTTTTTTCTTTTTGGCAGCTGGCCAATACACGGAACGAACCCCAGACCTTGAAAATATTAAATGAAAAATTCCAAGGGCCGAGCCCGTGGCGCACTCGGGAGAGTGCGGTGCTGGGAGTGCAGCAGCGCTCCCGCCGCGGGTTCGGATCCTGGTGCGGTGCAGCCAGTCACAAAAAGGACAAAAAAAAAAAAAAGAAAAATTCCAGAAATGAACAATTCATATATTTTAAATTGTGCACTGTTCTGAGTAACGTGATGAAATCTCACACCGTCCGGCTACATCCCACCCCATCTTTCCTGGGATGTGAATCACCCCTTTGTCTAGTGTATCCACACTGTACATGCTACTCACCCAGTTGTCATTTAGTAGCTCTCTTGGTTATCAGACTGAAAAAACACAGTATACACAGGGTTCACTACTATCCGCGGTTTCAGACATCCACTGGGGGTCTTGGAATACATCCCTCGCAGATAAGAGAGGACTCCTGTATTTGTTAATAGTGCCTCCCCTTCCTCCTAGGAGAAAGCCAGGCCAAGGACTCTTTTTTGTGTTTGGCAGGTGGGGACACTCAGGCCTGGGCAGGGATGGCTTCTGCAGGTGCTCAGTGAGCCTCACCCACCTCCTTCACGGAGACAGGACCACATGGGAGAAAGCAGGGCCACGGGGCAGCAGGACCCCAACCCCAGTGGCCTTCCAAAGAATGCAGTGCGGGAGGGCTTCCTGGAGGAGCTGGCCTTGGTACAATTCATGGGCACTGGGGCTCTCCGTACCAGCCTTAAGTGACCGCTTTCCTCCCAAAGCTCAACTCTCTCTCCTAAAGAGCCCAGCCTTTCACAACGGCTCTCCAGTAGTGACACAAGACGCCCACGTTCGGCCCTCATCCCTTTGGGCCTGGTGCTGCCTTGGAGACCCAACAGCACATGGCCCTTCTCAGAACTGGTGTGATTTCCAGAAAAACAAGTGCTGAGCCTTGGTTCACTCAGGGTTCCTCCCAGTGACAGAGGCTGGTCACGTGGCAGGCGCTGGGAATCCCAGCACTTCATGGGGCTAGGTGGGGGCGGGGATGGGAGGGAACCTGCCCCAAACCACCACAGGGCCTGCCACTTCCTGGAGCCTGGGTGCTGGGAGCCCCGTCTTGCCTGACATCTAGGAGCTCTGAGCTTCCAGACTTTGGGGAAGGCAGGCAGAATGGTGGGGACTTGGGCATGAGGACCACCTGGGCTTGGGGAGCTCCATCACTTACGTCGGTGTCTTTTGACACATTGCTTCACCCCCTGGGAATGGAGATGACACATGCTCAGAGGGTTGGCCGGGATGGCTTAAAGGAGACAGAGCATATAAGTAGCAATAACTGCTCCGCACAGGGGAATGTCACCAAACGCCAGGCCCTTCTTCAGCTGCACATTTGCACTTTGTCCTGTAATGCTCCCAATTTTACACACAGGGAGACAGAGCCCAGAGAAATGGAGTAACTCGTCCAAAGTCACACAGCTAAGAAGGCGCAGAGCTGGGATTCCAGCCCAGAGGTGTCTGAATCCAGAGGCTGGTTCTTAACCGCTGCCCAGAATCCACAGGAAGCAGGAGCACTGTAAACCACTAAGCAGAGCCCGGCACGCGGTGGGCACCCCAGGCACAGCAGGACTTCTCATGGCACGTATCTTTCCCAAGATCCTAAGATCTTGGGATTATTTGGGGATTCTATCCAACTATAGCCTCAGGCTCTTCACCATTTGATTTTATGGGGATCAAGGACTATCCCGTCCCACAAACCCAACCCCCTCCAGCAAAAACAGGTTCTTCACCAATGACCAAAATGTCACTATTCACGTATGTTCCTTGGATATGCATCACTTGTTACAAACTAAAGTGTCCTGCAAGGAACCTTGGTTCCTTCTGGAGAATGGAGCAGGGGGTATAGGGATAAGAAGGGGACATTTTACCTTACATCCTTTTTGTACCTTTTTTATTTTGACCCTCTGTGAATGTATTACTATCCAAAACATTACTAAAGTTAAAAATGAAAACATTTAACACATAAATTTTAAAAACTGCTAATAGGTGGGTGGGTGTAGGTGCAGACCGACAGAAGTGCAGGTGTCCCTAGAAGGAGGAAGGGCCTTTGCAATGACTGGTCCAGGCCCCATGGGTCCCAGGAGAGGATGGACCAAGGGGTGGGTGTGACTTGTCCAAGCGTCAGTTCCCGCCAGGTGTTTCACAAGAGCAAGGAACCCAGGCGGCCGGGCTGGGACCCTGGCAGCCCTCACCCACCAGGGCTCCTGGTTCCCAGCACAACCCTCCCTACAAGGCAGGGCCTGAACCCAGCAGGATCTGATCCCCCAGACCTGGAGCTCTGTGGAGTCTCCCCTCCACAGCGGCAGCCTCATCTTATCACAGTGGCTGGCACAGACCCACTGCCCAGCCTTCCACACAGTCTCCAGGGCTCCCAGCCCCTGCCCCTCGCCCAGGACTGATGATGGAAGAGACCCTGGAAGGCTGGTGGCCCCCTGGCCTGCTGCAGCTCCCAAAGGGGTTTCACTGTGGTAGCAGAGGAAGGGACACTGGGGACAGAGGGTGGCCTTGGTACCCCTGCAGCCTCCTCTCCCCAACTTGGCAGTGGTGAGGGGCTCTTTAGGGGCCACCTCCCGGCCACTGAGGGTGCTGCCTGCCTGTACAGGGGCCTGCTGAGGACTGGGGCCAGGAAGGAAGGGGCTGGGGTCACCAGGCGAGGAAGGAAGAGGGAGAGGCTGTGCAGGCATGGAAGTGACACACTGACCACCGTTTGCAGCATGCCCTCTGTGCCAGGACCTCTGCGGACAGTCTCATTTACCCCTGAGCTCCCTCCCTAGTAGGCACTCCCACCATGTTACAAACAAGGAGACTGTGTCTCAGAGATGAAAGGCACCCCAGATCACCAGCTAAAGGAGGGCAGAGCTGAGACCTGAACACAGTCCTGCAAGGCCTAGCCTTATGGGCTTTTCCAGCATGACACACTCAAGCAGGGGCTGGGCCCAAGCACCAGGGACCAGGGGGGAGGGATAGCCACAGAGGGCCACTAGGCTCCAGCCTGAGCTGGGATGGACACTCAAGTCCCCTCCTTCCACCACATATGCTATTCTTGCAACAGCAGGTATACACATGTGCACACAAACACACACACACAGATTCATCACCTCCACAGATCTGAACCCCCTCCTTGGGCATGTGGGGCCTCTGTACCTTCTCACTGCTCCTCCACATGGGCCTAAAACTGGATCTCCAGAAAATTCTCAGAGCAAGCCCTGTCTCAAGGACCCCAGGCTCAGGGACAGAGCCAGAGGCAAGCCCTAGCACACGAAAGAGCCCTGAAGAGAGAGAAGCAGTGAGCCCACAGTGGGGAAGAGGTGGCCCAGCAGAGGATGGGAACTAGGAACAGCTGGCAGGGCCTGGGATCCCAGCTAGAGAGGCAAATAGGATGGTCTCAGGCCATCTGGCTCCATGAAAGGGCTGGGGGGCACTGACAGGCACGTCCCATGAACACACACACACACACGCACACAAGCACACACACACTTCCTTATCAGCCAGACAGCCTGGCCAAGAAGTCAAGGAGCAGCTCTCTGAGAGTCAGACTCCCTCTTCCCATGCTTGGCCTGGACAACAGGATGGCCAAGGAACACTCTAGGCTCTTCGCAAGGCCTCATGGGACATGGCGGGCAGTGGGGGTGGAACGGGTAAGCACAGCCCCCCTCCCCCCTAGAGCAGATGGGCCAGTGGCCAGAGCCCTTGGCCTGAACCAGCCGCAGGTCCCCCAGTCTGAGCTTGCCCTCTGTCCCCAGCCTCCCTGACTGCACTCCCATGGGAGCTGCTGTCCGGCCTCTCGCTCACCGTGACGTGGCCTTGGGAAGCCAACCCCAGCCTCCAGCTGCTGCTGGGCTCACAGGAACATGCATACATGGGAGCATGCTTACCCTCCTTGCACAGAGGTGCAAGCACACATGTGCACACCAGGAAAACCCTGACTTCCTGTCTCTGGGCCTAAAAACCTCGGGAGGATGGTCCTGGGTCTAAACCTAAATCCCTCCCACTGCAATGCGAAGCTGTCATCAGGCCAAGACAGCTCAGCCATGGGTGCCTCTTCCCAGCCTCTCCTTGGGGGCCTTCCCCACCCAGTGACTGCGACTCCCACCCAGAATGCCGATGGCCACGGGTTATATGAGGGGTCAAGCAGGGGGGGCTGGCCTGTCAATCACCTGCTCCTCCCTTGCATCCCCCCCCTAGAAAGAGGTGCCCCTCGGACGAACCCCGAGCCCCTGGCTGTGAGGATCCCAGGCCACCCACTCCAGGGCCTGGTGAGAGGCAGTGCCGACCTCCATCCTCTGCTGGTCTCAGTTTCCCCATCAGCACAAGGACTGCTTGTCAGCATCAGCACTCACACACACACCCTGCCCCCACCCCAGCCCTAGAGCCTGGGAACCCCAACCTCTCCACTTCCTCATTCCTGCCCTGCCCAGGGAGAACTGGATATTCCCTGGCATACAGCCTGCACACCCATTGTGGGGTGCACTGCCTTGGCACCTGCTCCTGGAGGAGATGAACAATCCCCAGGCACTCAACCCACTTGCCCCAGGGCCCCAGCAAGACTCACACCTGACCCTGTGCTCCAGCTCTGGTGTCAGGAGTGGGGCAGATCAGCCCAGGCACTGCC